AACCGATAATGGCTAATTCATAAAATATGATTGCGGTCGTATTTCGAAAAGGAATAACGACACGACACACAGAACGCATAGCGGCACTATTTATTTGTACAAGCATTACGATGCAAAAGATATTATTTCATTACACATAAAATACGTATACAAATTTGCTACTTTTTTTTACATTTTAAATAAATTTTAATAAATGTTATTATAAATGCTATTATTGTACGTTTTGCTTTGCTAATGGCGCCAATTGTACTAACAATTAATTTTACAAAATACTCATACATATATAAACCAATTAGAAATTCTTAAAAAGATAAAAGCAACAAAAATCAAATTTATATCGATCTATTTCATATTAACTAAATGAAGATAAGAATATATACGGAAAAGTAGGAGTGAACACAGTAATTGCTGTGCGCAATATAATAGGTAATGTAAATTTTTAATTATCCGTTATTGATGACAATATATGTACTGGACGCGTTTCGACCTACATCGACCACACATTTTAAGTTCAAAAGATTTCAAGAAACGCGAACAGACCTGTCGTTACAGCTTTTAACCATGTAAATGTGAAATACGTACGAAATGACCTTCATAATTATAGTAAAATTGCCGTTAAAAAGTTAGGATAATATTACATTTGTCGAATGACAAGGATTTTAAGCTCATTGATTGGTTATACAATATATATGATAGAACAGAGAGATCAGACAACTTACATTCGAACCTATTTACGAGATGCTCAAATATTGCTGTTGACAGTGTTATCAAAAACGATGCTCAACACATGCGTGTACTTCCTCTAGCCAGAAAACTATAATATGATCGGAAAAGAATTTTATGAGAGAAGGTTTTGTTGACACACTGAGACTGTTGCATCGCATATGATAGGATAATATCAAATGTATTATATTAATTCCGTTGATAATGACTTAAAATATGTCGAAACGCGTCCGGACATACACAATATGTTGTCATCGTTTATGAAGAATTATAAATATTTACGGTATTATATTGCACATACCAATTACTGTGCTGTTTCCTACTTCCCCGTATATTCTCGTTTTTATTTAGATAAAATATATTATTACACACATTAATCGGTATTATTAGAAAATGCAAAATATACGTTTAAAATAAGAATATATAATAATTAAGGTATTATTAATTTGTGAAGAAGATTCTGTGAGTCGGAACAAATGTTACTGAATTAAATGTTCGCTTAAATATACTGATTAGCATTATTTAAAGAACTTTTTTGCTTGTTTATGCGATCGTAATTTTATAATACTTAATATATAAGTTGAATTTATTGTAGGGGAGAATGGTCTAAATCGGACCTATTTGCAGTTTTCGTTCTCCACTATATAAGGCATAAATAAAGTCCGATCATAAAACCAATGGTGCCGTTCGAAAGATTATTTAATTTCCTTCATTTTTGCTTCAAACCATTTTGACGTATCTCTTACTTGTGTCGTATTATATAACTATAATGGAAAATGTAAAAATGCATTTTCCGGTCCGATTTGGAACTATAAGTTCTCTTTAACTTATACGAACATGTGTTTCATACCAATTTCATGTTAGACTTTTCGAATGATTCAAACTCTCTCAATTTGAAATTGTTTCTTATCCAAAAATTAAATTTTATATATTAAACAAACTTTGTGTCTTGAAGCTGTTTTTGGGTTTTACGATATAAAATTAAAAAAATATTTCTGAAATTAGATTTATATTTATATTTATTTTACAATGATATTCACGCGATTTTATTCTATTTCTATTAATTTCAGAGAGAAATAGATTTTCCTAGATAGTATTACATCGAGTAGAAAATTACTTCAACAAACACGTATCTCAAATAAAAAACAATTTTTAGATGTACGCTCTAAGTTTAGATACGTGCAGTTAAAATGCGCATACTCTCTCGCATATTACGCGAAACGTAAAGTATGCATCTCTTAAAAAGTTTTACAGCTTTTATATGATGTACAATGTAACAAAAGAACGGCTCAATGTCGCCTTAGTCTTGATGGAAAGAGTATCCGATATTACATGTAACATACACACAAATGCACATGTATTTACATACACACATTTTCTTTGCCAAGAAATTCATAAGAATAAGGTATAACTTAGCGGAAAGCGCGCAGCGTCGCAAACAGTCCCGTCTAATATATGCGCGACGCGTCTTCGCTCGTAGCTTGGATAACTTTCTTCGTCGAGGTTTTAAGCGCTCGGACGGTCAACTTTATACGTCCGCACTGGCGAATTATGGAAATCCTTCCTGAAAAAGTTCAAAGTACGGCGAGACCACGCTAACGTGTCAAAAGGTGCAAGTCGTTGCTAAAGAAGAGAGAGAGAGAGAGAGAGAGAGAGAGAGAGAGAGAGAGAGAGTTCGTCAAAACTTTTCACAAAACGCATTAATGTTTGTTCTGACGCTATCACGTTATTATCTTAGCACGCGATTACATATTTGCGATTTAATAGCGGAGATCAGCGCTGGAAGTACTTAATATAAATGATGTAGTTAATCCGCTTACTAACAAAGAGCCATGAATCAGTAATTTACTTCAAGACTTGGGAATTCGAAAAGTTAAATTTTTCTATTAAATATCAAATATGTTTCACAAATTATCATAAAAGTTCTTTAACCGTCTTTATATAAAAAAAATTTTTAATGATGAAATATCCTTTTTTTCTCATTTTATCACAACTGTAGTTTGATCGTTGTCGAATAATATCGCATAAATTGTGTCGTAAAAGCTGCAAATTTATGACGCGAAACAATAAAAGAACGTGCTGCTGTTTATAGGATTATAGGAGTCCATGTATATATAACTCCGATGCAACATTCGACTTGATTTACTCGGGGCGGAAATAATTTGCCGCTCGCAGGTGTTTCTACAATAAATCTCGTGGATTCACGTCCAAGTCGAAGGTTCTTTCATGCCCTTCGACGCTCGAAAGTCGTGATAATCCGAATGCGGAATAGGGCGAGCTGCGCGTGCTACAAAACATGTTCGCAAAATGCTCGTCACGGAGACGCGGGAACACATCCGAGAATCACGGATCTTGGACGTGTAAAGTGTGTTCCGCGTACGAACAAACGAACGACCGTAAAACGATCGCTCTGGATTATTGACCAATGATTTTGCAAAAGGATTGATTAACATTTCAGGGCAACATAAATGCCGTCAATAAGTCAAACTAAACTCGTGAGTGTTTCACGAGCAGCTATTTAGCTTAGCGCTTCTAAGAGAAGATTGCTAATTAGTTAATCCTTGTTTAATTAGTTTCTAACTCATTAGTTTCTCATTAATTGACATTAATGACGAGTTTCAAAATGTTTTATAGTACAGCAGAAATCAAATTGAATCAATCTTTTAATTGCTATAGGCATGCATGTAAGGTACTGTGTGCCTTTGGCAATTATGGTACTAGTGGAACTATAAACCAACTTGTTCATTATTAAATTAATTATTAAATATTGTATTTAATAATTTGGTACTTTTATCTTAATTAAGACAATTTTGTCTTAATACGTGTTTGAAAAAGTAGCTTTTTATTTGCCAGAATATCAATATAAAAAATCATATATACGCGACTGTTCCTAATTCTCAGATGAACAGTTTGCCATATTAAAGTACGACGCAGTTAAAGAGTTAAATTAATGACATGAACCGTATTCAGAACGCGTTCATAACGATATTAGCGTGCATTTAACATATAATTCACGTTATACATACTATAGAATTTTAGAAATAAAAGCGCGCATTTATCGATAAAAGCGCGTTCAGAATACAGGCCAGACACAGACAAAATAATAACGAAAATATAACTGCATATTAAACTGCATATGATTTGTTTCTCTATATCTACATTCGTCCTCGTTTTATACAACTGCAATAAATAACGTTTGATATAGTTTGAAGCAACAATTTCTGTGATCTGTTTCCCCCAAGCAAAAACAAGTAGAGATAACATCAAAATGATGTGAATAAAGTGAATCGTTATTGATTGAAAAGTGACTTTTAGTAATTATTTTAGCCATGTTCCTACATACTGCCAGTATTGAAAACCAACATAGGTATATAGTTACGAGTTTATAGTACCAGTAATGTAGGTATATCGGCGTTTGGAGTCATTTTAATGTTATGATGATTTCCCAGCAAATATCAATTTTAACAAAAATACATGCATAACTACGTTAGTTATCATTTTCCACTCAACAATTATATTGTAATATAACGCGCATTATATAACAATTATATTATTAAGTAGGAAATTATAATTAATAGTTATAATGTTATAATACTGTTAGTATGTGTTGAAAATTGTGTTCAGTTTGTGCCAGATTGTAATAAAAATCACATATACAGATATAAATGCTCAATGGCGATTGATTTTATACAGGTCGAGTTACAGGAGCTACAAAAGGTTCATTTTTTTTATTACTGCACTGAAATGCACTAAAATTTTGCTTCTTGTTTTTTCGACAAATATTAATATTACTGCGTATACCTATATTAATTTCATTTTAAAAATAAGGTATATGCATTCTATATAGTTTACTTTAAAGTTTAAAAACAACAAACCTATATATAGGGTGCGTTCCGAGTTACACATGAAACGCATGATGCATCATTTATCCTTGTTGTTCAACAAATAATAAAGAAGGATAAAATAAAGGATAAATGCGCTTTATGCGTAACTCGGAACTCGCCTATTGATGCGCAACTTCAAATGCAGCCATGTTTGCGCAGTAACGTGCGTCCGGTTCGGAATCAATCGTCAGGCGACGAGAGCGCCAAAGCTGAGAAGTGAGAGTTGAGATGTAAGATTTAGTACTTTAGTGGTGGTAGGACTAGTATGAACATTCGGTAAGAGGTTAGTGTAACGGATTTCCTAACCTCAACAGTCGTCAACTATAACGCTTAATATCTCGGTTCGTAGGGCAGAGCGACACTTTTTTCTGCCAGACTCTTTCGTTTCATGCAAAAACGCATCGATTGAGTATATTTTTATCAAAATTTGAAAGGAGCGGGGTATTCTATACCTTTACCATAATCAGTAATAAAACAATGGATCCGGCTTTACTCAGAGAGCGAGAGCTCTTCAAGAAACGTGCTCTGAACACACCAATGTGAGTGATTACTCTTTTCTCGTATCTAATTACGTCACATACGTTTAATGCAAAATTTTAAGAAAAAATAGTAAGCATTTATATGTAGATATTCAATTTTGTACAGATAGTTTAATTTATACAGTTAATGCCCATCTGACCTATCTCTCAAATTTGAGCATATAACCTGAACATTAGTTTTAATATAGTAATATATTGTAAATCTTTCTTGGCATTCAATAAGTAACAGACAGAATAAGATTTGTGTCGAATTGTGTCATCAAATTGAAAACATCTAATATATCATGTCGATTAGATTATTTATATGAAAATACAAAATATATTTCTGATAATACGATTACAGAGTTGATAAGAAGAAGCAGGAGAAGGAAACTACAAAAGATGAACCGCCGAAGAAGAAACCTAAGCCATCGTTGGTATCTGCAGCACCGAAATTGGACATGGTCAACTATAAAAGTATGACTGGTAGCAGTCAATACAAATTTGGTGTATTAGCGAAGATAGTAAAACATATGAAAGCGAGGCATCAAGAAGGAGATGATCATCCATTAACATTAGATGAAATTCTAGATGAAACAAATCAATTAGATGTTGGATCAAAGGTATTGTCTTCTATTACTCTTGTTAATCCTGTTTTTATATTTTTATTTTTTATTGAAGCAAACTATCTCTTTTTATAAATTTTTAGGTTAAGCAATGGTTACAGACTGAAGCTTTAGTACAAAATCCTAAAATTGAAGTAACAGATGGTAGATTTGTATTTAAACCTATGTATAAAATTAGAGATAAGAAGTCTTTACTGAGACTTTTAAAACAACATGACTTAAAAGGTCTTGGTGGTATATTATTGGAAGACATACAAGAGAGTTTACCGCATTGTGATAAACATTTAAAAGTAGGTATAAATTTGTAAAAATTTTTTTCTGGTTGTAATTTAAGAAATACTATACTTATTATATATTTCAGAATTTACAAAACGAGATATTATATATTATACGACCTCTTGATAAGAAAAAAATTATCTTTTATAATGATAAGACAGCCCAATTCCCCATTGATGAGGAATTTCAAAAATTATGGCGAGCTGTTGCAGTAGATGCTATGGATGATCAGAAAATAGATGAATATCTTGAGAAACAAGGAATTAGATCAATGCAAGATCATGGATTGAAAAAGCCAGCGCCAATCAAACGAAAGAAACCCGTTAATAGAAGGAAACAATTTAAGAAACCAAGAGATAATGAACATTTAGCAGATGTTTTGGAAACATATGATGATTAAATAAGAATTTCATGATTATCCTGCCATACCAAGTAAACTTGTTTACATTATAGAATAATTTAATGTAAATAAAATAATATTAATAAATTTATTTTGTAAATAATTATTTTAAGTAAAGAATTATGAACGTAAAAGCTTTTTTAAATATTTTTATTTTTTTTTCTTTGGCTCGAATTATTATTATACAACGTTATTTATATTTCAAACACTCATTTGTACCGTATAACTAAAATAAATTATTTACATTATTTAACATTATTAGATATAATTTATTTTAGGCATTTAATAAATAATTAAGTAAGACATTTATTGTTATTTCACATTGTAAGTACAAAATAAATATAGAATTATATAAGTTGCAATACTTACATAAACTATTATATATGTTTACACATCCAAATCTTTTTTATATCTAAGAGACTAATTTGGAACAGTAAAAAATTATAAAATATATTACTATTTGTGCTACATAAGAGGATATTGTAAAACTTATAAATATATATATATATATATATATGATATATACTATATAATTTTTCTATATTACATTTTTCCTTGAATTGAACTCTTATTACATTCTGAGGAATAAGTTATTCCTTTTAAGTAATTTTTATACAGATTTATTAAGATGTATTGTAATAATTTATATATCTGTATTATCTGTGTGATAGAATCTTAAATTACTTTTGTATTAAAAATTGATATTTTCTTTGGCATTTGTTGCTTCGCTTTCCTTTCATCCATTGTACAACTCCAAATAGAATACAGCTCATCACAACATCAAAATGACATGCAAAACTGTCAAAAATTGCTCTTTAATTAATAACGATTCATTTTAACGTCATTTTGATGTTACCATGACTTGTTCTGCTTGGAAAACGATTATATACTATTATCTTACTACTTTTTTTTCACATTATCCACAGTTAACAGTATTGATCTTTTATTCTGAAGGATTCCTTTTTTCTTATATAATATAATAGGCTTCGAGTAATAATATTAATCTTTCGGTAAAGCAGAGTCGCTTTTTCCTCGCGAATAAGCACGTGTCGCTTTACCGCCGAGCATTCTATCCAGCAAGGATTGTTTATTTCTTCTCCTCGCTGCGAGAACTTCTCTACATAATTCGTGAAAAGATTCCGCAACCTGGGCAACCTATGAAAGTTATTTGGCTATTTAAAAAAAAAGATTATAAAATCTGTGAATAAAGTGATAAATTATTAAAAATTGCAATTACTTGCTCAGCTGCGGTTATTTCACTAAACCAGCATTCGAAATCCTTCGCTAGTATCTCTCCTTCCTCAGCACTAACTTGACGTAAATGAACCATATCAGCTTTATTTCCAACAAGGGCAAGAGGCATCGCAGCTTCAGGATCAGCTACTGCGAGAGCCTCTTTTGCCTTTCTGACAAAATTAAAAGAGTTTCTGTCGGTTATTGAATAGACCAACAACAAGCCATCCGCCCATTGTAAAGTTTCCATTGACGGCAACTCATCTTCACTCTAAAATGTTAAAAAAAAGTTATGTGAATGAAACTATGTACAAATAAACATAAAATAATGTGTAGATTATTAATAGATTAATAATAATGTATAGATTATTTTATATAATAAAATTTTATTAAATACAAAAATTACCTTTGGACACGTATCTAAAATTTCAAAAAGAATCGGTTCCCCATCGACTAATACCTCATGTTTGTATCTTGTTTCTAGAAATTAAAATAAGATTCGTTCTTAATGTAAATATTGTATTAATAACTATTATTTATATAGGACAAATATAAATAATAGTTATTAATACAATATCTATTTTGATAAAAGTAAAATTACGATTTCATTATTTGCAATATGTTATAATAACGTGATTTAAAAAAAAAATGTCCGAATTTTTTTTTAAATTCTCTTTAAAAAGTTTGATATGTTTCCAACAAATAATCTGACGTTACTCGTATTATTTTAACATTAAATGATGTTAAGGACGTCATTTTGATAACGAATAACGTCAGCTTTTTTCCTGGGTTCATGTAAAGTCAATTTGATTTAAACAATTTTTCTTGAATTTGTAATCAGTTGCTTGTGTAATTGTCATTTTATTCAAAATTTCTCGTGTGTGACTTTTTCATTCAAACATAAAATGAAAAATAAGCGCGATAATAAAATAATATGAATATAAAGCATTGTATAAATATAAAACATTTTTACATTATTATGTTACTTTTGATTTCATTTATTAATTTATTTGTCAAACAATTGATAATGTATCCTTTTTCCTTCTTTATAATGCATTTTGAAAAATGTTCTTCGAAGAGAATCATTCACAGAGTTGTTTTATAATTATTTAAAGAAAAAAATGGAAAATGAATTATTAACATTGATACTAACATGAACATACAAATATAACTTTCACGTATTATAATTCTTGTATTGCATAAAAAAATCATCCTTGCTCGCAAATGAGTTAAAAAGATTTAATGATTATCTGTAACGCAAATATTTAAAAATGATAAAAGAAATTTTTGTATTTATTATATTAAGATATTTCTCTCGGATCGAATTTACTTTTAAGACGCTAAAACACGGCACGTGCTTTCCTCCTGTCTACGACCGTGTCTGCAATGTATTTCTACAAAACGAAAAGTTTTGTTTGAGTATCAACCTCGCATTAGTACCCGTCCTGTCTAGTGTCAAATTCGTCTTCGATAAATTTAGAACGGACGCGGACTCTCTAAGAAGGTATGCAGAGGGAGAATATACGTAGCCTTAGAAGAGGATTACAGTTGCTGGCAATTTTTCAAACTGACGCGTTATTCTATTATACACTTTGCCACGCGCATGTACGTCAGTTTTGTAAGCGAGTTATTAAAAAATCAGCAACAGATATTAGCGTCAAAATATATTAAATTCTTTTTCATAAACAATGCTCTTTTCATACTTAAAATGAGTAATTATTTAGTCTTGCTGTATTAAATTGGCTAGTATTAGACATAAGAAAAGAAATTCAACTACAACTATTTTTAAAGCGCGATAATTTATTATAACACATATTTATAATATCAAAAATTAATTTGATTTAATTGTAAATGTCGCATGTTACATCTTTATAATGCTAACGAATTTGTAGAATAAAGCGCAAAACAAAACGAATTGATAGCTTGTTTATTGAATCGATTTGTAATAGAAACGTATATTTACTTTATAGTATTTTAAATATTTTATAACGATGACAAATTAATTGACATATGCTCAGTGTACGTTATTTTGTTGTAATGTTGAATATGTATACAAGTTCAGGGGTGTTATTGCCACACTGAGTCGTTATATTATCATTCATACGACAATGATCGAATAGACAGGTCTTACGAGCGCTGCTTCGTGTATTGCGTTCAAACATGGCAAAGCAGCTGGCCTGTTCACCGAGCAATTGAACATGTTAATTGGGGTTCTTAATTACTTATAGAGCCAATCACATTCAACTACTTGGCGAGTAGACCAGCTACTTCATCCGTTTGAACATAATCGTATTGTTTCGCTTTCTATCTCGAAATACGACCAATTATTTCTTACGAATGATCCGATTAGCTATTATCCGCGTAATTAATTTCCACGACTAACATTTTGTAGATCAAATATTTGACGCGTTTCGTTTTTTTTTAAACAATAGTCAAAGTTGTAGCTAGATAGAAGTTGCAATTATAAATTTTTTTTTATCATAACATATTTATTTGCTATAATTATTTTCATAACAATCTTTGCAATTGAATATCTTTCGTATTACGTTTTATATTTTTCATTGAGTCAGGTATTTCATCTGAATTTTATATATTATGCGCGGAGTAAAATTACTGCGTTGGTTCGTATAACTCATTAATAGAAAACTGATACATCGATTGATTATTAAAAATAAGTATATTTCATGTATTATTTACAAGTTTAATATTGCATATTCGATATTGAGAGAGAATTCTGATTGTATATTTCTCTCTCTCTCTCTCTCTCTCTCTCTCTCTCTCTCTCCTCTCTCTCTCTTTCTCTCTCTACAAATGACTTAATAAATCTTATTCGTTTTAAATTAAATTTATTGATTTGCATAATATTCCAAGAATAAAAAAAAAGTTGTCAATACAGTTTTCATAATTTTTGGAGTTAACAAAATGTTGTGAAACTAACTGAAAATGTAAAATAGTGTATAATAAATGTATAAAAAATGTGTAATGAATATATGCGACATACTTGGCATACGTTTATTTTATACTTTTATTTTAAATGTTTTACAATGATGAACTAAAGCAACGGTTAATATTTTAAAGCATAAAATTTAGCTTTAAGCTAAAACAATAAAAAATTGATCAATTATAGTCGAATGCGTAAAAAAAGAATAGAGAGTCGACCATGTATTGGTCAATTTTTACGGTTTAAAAAATTGAGCTAGTCTTGAAAAAAAGTGGTTTAATTTTCAATGTTTAAGAGTGTGAGAGAGACCTTGTTCCTCACAGTAAGATTTACTTGAAAAGTTTTAGAATGTTGAACAAAGATGAAATGATTACTGTTTCATTATAAAAGTTTTACATCTTAAAATCTCATTGTAACACCGCTCAACTGACGCACGTAAGTCTAGCGTACTGCTGGTGCTGTATACATAAACAAGATACAAGGTCGGACATTGCCGCGTACGTTGCCGCGCACGAGTAGTTGTATTATCATTTACACAATAGCGCTCGAACGAACAGGTAGTGTCGCGGGTCGCTCTTGTAAAACGTCTTGTTATATATTATATTACCTACTTCTCGAAATACACAGCGACAAGTACTAACTAATATACATAAGAACCGTTACCGTAATCTATTCTCCGTATAATTGATTAGAGATTAGATAACGTGGACATAAAACAAGATTTGCTATACATATAAAGTAATTGCTTAATCAAATACTGTAATATCCTGATTGATTATTAATATTAAGGGGTATTTTGCATTTATTTCGAAATGTGTTACATATCGTGAAATATTGATTGAATTACATTTAGATATTAGACTATTTACGGAATCGGGAATTCGAAATAAAGTTGTCAACGCAATCGTCAAGGTTTCCGGTTATTAACAATCGCGGCAATAGAATGAGTTAACTCCAAATCAAACAGCATCGCGATACGTTTAATCGGTAACTATAAATGTATTATAGTTAATGTAAATTTATTACCAATCATTTAACAGAAATCTTTTGAGACACATTAATTAAAGTCGGTAATTATTTCTTCAAATGCTGTATTTCATAGACATTTGTTTTTAACTTTAACTCTTTTGTGCGTTGATTTAATCGTGTTATAACATGAGACAGTAATCGCTCTAAATCGCGGAAATATTATTATTTAAAGTACAGCAGATGTACGAAAGTGCAGGAAGCAGCATTGGATTGCCGCAGCGGGTGCCATGACCGCCACGTGAAGTTCCATCCGCGTGTTTTATGAATTAGTTCCGCCATTTTAACTCGTCCACTTGATTACTTCACACGACATCGCAGATAACAATCGTAGTATTGTCCGCTGGTAGTTTCTTCACTTTGTGCCTCTGTCGAAACGTAATACAGTGAACATACGATGCGTTTGTAATACGTTTGACTAATTGGAGTGCCGTACAAAGTTTCGTGCGAGTGTCATATTTTGATGATTATCGCGCGACCCTAACTATATTTTTGCGAGCGAGTTCAGCTAACATCGGGAGCGCCGTGTAAAGTATCACGTGACTGTCTTTAATAATCAGTAAGTAATTGTAACTGGTAGTATTTCGCGAACGAATATTGTACGAGTGCGGAGTGAATGAATGCCATGAAGAAACAACTGAAGGGCATGAGAGGAGTAGGCCGCCTGGGAGGCATCCGGCGTCAGCGGAGCAACTATAGATGAGTAATAATTTAACGTATATAATTAATCATTTGTCTCGATGAATGATAATCGCAGGACATATTCTGTGCGTTAATACATATTATATAATGTATTTGTAACATTATTTATTGTGTGTTATACAAACGTGTATGTGTCTTAAATTCTGATTGTAAGAGAACGAGCATAAACAAACGCGAATAAACCACTACTTACAAAAAAAATTCAAATGTATTTTATGAATATTTCCAGAACAGTGATTTATTGAAATAAGTTGTTAATTTATTTGTGCTTGCTTACACTGCTCCGAGAGAATCCGGCTTTAAATATATTATATTATATTTAAAACTTATAACGATTTGTTGATTTGAAATAAATTTATTGTTTTTTGAGTTTAAAAAAATGTTATTCTTATGGAAGTAAGTCTTTTCTGAATTTACAGTTATTTTGTCAAATACTTACATTTGGAACATTGTATTTGGAAAAACAAATTAAAATTTGTAATTATTTTAGAAATATTAATTTTAGAGATATTCGGGTAATCTGAATACAACAATGTATTTCTATTTTTCAAATATAATGTTCGCGCGTTAAAACTTTGCTGCAGCACATCGTATCTGTCAGTTAATTTATTTTTTATTTTATTATGAGATAATAATTCTGTGAAGTGGGTCTAAAAATTATGTTTAATATATTTACGTATTTGCAAAAGGTCAGAAAAAAGTGAAAGATTAAAAATCTCTTTCCAATATCTCTTATTTCAAAGATCCATTATCTTAAAATGAATAGTATATCAGATAAAAGGATAAAAACGATAGAAAAAAAAATTTTGTAAATACAGTAACTTTATAAAAAATAATAAATAATAAAGTATATAGCAAATAATAATTAACAAGTATTCGAGCAATTATTTTTAAACACTTAATTTAAAAGATTTGCGTTTGATAATTTAATTTGAAATCTTTTCTATTACAATTTCTATCACGATTTTTTTACTATATCGTAATAAATTAATTTTATTTACGTTAATATCTATGTTTTGGTAATGCAACAATTTCGCGCATGTGAAGATTGTGATGGAACGTGACCAAAACGTAGATTGTGTTGAGTCACTAACAAAACTAAGAACAAAAATATTTGTGTATTTGTTTTAGTTTAATGTCTAATAAATCAGTTATACCGACATTCGATACGCGCGCATTGGAACGACATCAGCGATAGTATTGGTTATAGACATTAGGTATGTGTTAAATATACGTTTCCAATTGTCGTAGTGGAGCATTAGGCCTTAGAGAAGAGAAAATAAAAGGCGGAACGGAAGGATAGTATACGAGACGGTGGCGGATAGAATATCAAAGAGAGCAAGTGTATTGTAACATATGTATCATAACAATATTCGAACAGTGTCAGGTTTCACACAAATAATCGTTTCTTTCTCAGTTGAGGACAGTCTCATTTAATCTTTAATTTAAATGTGACTTTTGAACCATTTGCGCGTCTCAAGATACAGGCTACTTCTCACCTAATAGATTTTTGAATTTTGAACAAATTTCAAATAACTATGAGGCCTTCAAATAATCTTTCTCACCTGATTGATGATCATATTCCCCGATGTATCTCCTTGTCAGAAATCTCACTGTCAATGCTGAAACATAATAGAAATATATACTGCACGTGTATGCAGTTCAAGCATGACATAATTATGTTGTACGTGATATAATTGAGTTGGCAAACTATAATGACAGGCTATTCGCGCAACGTCGCGTCTCGGATTCGTATGCATCGCGGTGATCTACATTTCGTTTGTTACAGTCGTATCTATTTATGCAAGAGAAAATCAACACAAAAATACTATTCACTTGATGTCAGAATTATGCTGTAAACCATATTTAATATTTAATTATACTTTTTAATGAAGTTGAAGAAACTAAGATTTAATAATTGAATGAATTTAATTAGCCTTCTATGGTTGTTTCTATCTATGCAGCGGAAGTCCATAAATAAAAATTATTATTAAATCATGAAATTGTATTTTATATTATATGTTTACATTTGTATAATATTATATAATTTATTTTTCATTTTATTTAATATTATATAATTATGTACTATATATTCATATTTAATATTTATACATATATAGGGTGGTACTTCTATGTACGATCACCCTTTATACAAATCCGGCAGCTGTCCGGCGTCGTACGAATTTAATTAAATATGATGTATTAGACGTATGTAGCACGTATATTAATATTTATACATTTAGATTTTTTAAATTAATTTTTAAATTTTAAATTAAGGGGGCGGGGGGGGGGGGGGGGAACTACATACGCGGTATATAAATTCACACAATTATAATAAACACTAACATCCTGTTTACATGACTCGAATAGGCATTACACTTTCTGAGATTTTTAAATAAGTAAACTAAAAAAGTGTACAACAAAAATAGAATGATACGAATACAAGTCTGTATACTTTAATCAAATGATATAGACATATTGTGTTCATTACGTTTTTATTGAACAACACTTTTTTATAGTTTATTTACTTTATTTTTTATTGTTTTGATTGTTATAATCTCAAATTTAAAAAATTTAAGGCCTCACACACAATAATCTAAAGGCTTAGAACGCTCGCACGGAATGCCAGAGATCTGGATTCGACTCCCGGCCGAGGTAATATTTTTCGCAATAAAAAATTAATGATTTACAGATTTAATGTCATTTAACATTATTAAGATCGATCTCAAGATCTGCGCAAAAAGCATTAAAAAGATGGTTAAATTGTTAGTCAATTTAACTTGTGATCTTACTACGATAGTTTAATAGCGTTGCGTTTCATGTCTGAAGAAAATTCAGCGCGCAATTAAGAATCTATTATACAAACGTAGTATATAAATTCACACGCAATTACATAAAAGTGCACCAGAGATCTAGCTTGACCTTTACGGCATGTTCTCATCGGTATTCATTTGATCTAAAATTTCATGAAAATCTAAATGCTTTTGTATATATATTTCGAGTGTTCAAAATAACTTGAGTGCAAAAATTGAAATTTTTGTTATTTATTTTATAAATACGTTTTTATCCATTTCTATTATAAAGAATATTACTTCTTGTTAAAATAACTTGTGATCCAGATGATAAACTGTCATTAAAAAAAATGTGTTGCATTGTTTTAAATACGATTTAAAATATTCTGTGATTTTGTTATTATTTTAAAATAATCAATCGAGAATCCTTAAATAATCCTTAAGAATATATCTTATGGTTGTATGAAATATTTTTATTATTAGATACTAAACAGTTTTTAATTATAAGGAAACTTGTGTTGGATCTAACTAATAGAAATACATCTAAACAAAACTGTTTCTTTGCTTTTACGGCACTAATCTTCGGTACGTTATTAAACCGATGTCCGTTTCATTAGTCTCAATGTTTTGCGTGAAAGTGATGAAAAGACGCTGACACACGATCTTCTCGATATGATCAACAACTGAACATATGTATTGCGATTTGATCGGGAGAAACGAGAGCTACAACCTAGTGACACGCTTCGAGGTATACCACACTATTTTTATCACGAACTCGAATCTGCCACGGCGCCACAAAACCTTGCGCGATGCATTAATGCCACCGTAGCTTATTTCATTTTTAAACGTGCAGTGAATACACTTTCGTTTCGAATATGAACTGTCAGTTTATTGGATTCCAGACAAAGATCTAACCGAATCTAACTTTTTGATCGTGAAATGCTAACGTTTTGTAAAATTAATAAATCAATATGAAATAAACAATATGTATTATTTTTATTAAAAGAAAATGTATAAAGAAACAAAAAAAGGCAATTGTCGAACCAAATTAATCTAACACGATAAATGTTATAAATGAATTCGTGCAACAAACTGCATGAATGTATAAAATTATACGAATGTAGACATTACAATTGTATAATGTGTACGTATCTCTATACCTAATAGACACATACTAGTATATTGTTTAGAATATAGGTCAGTTTTTGATCGACAGGAACGCATGGATGTTTCAAATGCCAACAAATTTATTAGTATTTGGTTTGCTTTGGAAATTTGTGGACCAACATCATTAGAATATTGCTCCATTTTTTTTCGAATTTAATTCTCGATTATTCGCTAGAAAAAAGTTTAGAATTTACCTTCTAATTTTCAAACACATTGAATTTTTATTCTTTACACGCTATTACGATACTTTTAGATATTTGCGTTGCTCAAGATATAGAAGAAATATTTTCCTGAATTAAAGTTTCAATCGCAAAGGAATGTTATGGTGAATCGAAACTCGATGATGATCCAAGGTAAATTTTGAGTTAAAATTTTATAAATAGCAACCACGTATTTTACGGCCAACAGAAAAGACGCACAGTTCTGGCGAGGACGGGCCAATTATTTATTCACCTATGTCTTTACACTTGCCATTACCAAAAATACACGCGGTTAGCTACTCTCAGGGTCCTCAGTGCATATTTCATATATGCATCTTCATCACGTGGAACGTGATTCGTGTTATATACTTGCATTGAATTAGAATTTAGAGTGTCGACATTTACCACAAGATTATTTCTTTCTTGAAATACATCTAGGTTTATTCTCTTATTGCTTTCTTCACAATCGCATTTGTTTGTAGAACAGCACGATTTCATACATAGTATACGAATAACGTGTAAAATAAATTTTGTTCTTAATTACATGCCCTTTTTTGGTTTAATAATACATTCGAGCGATCGCTAAATATTTCTTATTTTATACTCTTACATTTACATTAATGAAAACTCAACTTTATTATAAGTTTATTATGAAGTTTTATTAAAATACACATTCACACTTACCGCTTTTGCCGACTCCCGGAGCTCCTATAACTGCTACCTTAACTTCGCATAGCGAACTTTTCTTTCTTCTGATGCCTCTAATCGCATTTGACGTCATACTACAAGCATTTGTCACTGCAAAAAATAAATTAAAGTGGTAGTGTAATTATACAGAAACGTCTAATAAATATCTGAAAAGAACAACTTCCACATACATGTTAAATTATATTCTGGAGAGAACAGAGGAGAGAATGTGTGCTCAAAATATAAAAATAACTTTTGACTGCATTTTAGTATTACAAAATGAAAAATATTATATTTCTATAAAAAGACAAATAATTTATACAAATTGTAAAACCTTAAGTATCACTTTTATTATTAATTGTATTTAGTATGAAAAAATTAATTATTACTAGTTATATACATCATTTTCTCCTTCTCTTCTAATATTGCTATCACTATCAGCAAATTAAAAAATTGACGTGATTGCATTTAAAGAATTACATTCAAAAGAAAGGACAAATATATGTATATATTTATTTATTAGCATATTTTGCATTTATATATGTATAGTTAAGCTTTATCGCGAAATTAGTATTTCGTTGTTTTTTGGATAATCGAATTACGATCTAATATACCGGATGTTCCATTTCTTCTAAAACGTAATAAGAACAAAAATTTTTACGGCATTTCGTGGCATCCGCTGCTTGTTTCTCTTTAGACGCTTGTTTGAATAAATCGCGCTACACTTTGAAAGAAGAAGGCCAGAGCGCCTGTTTAGAAAACGAGAGAAAGAGAGATAAAGCGAGGAGCGGATAAGACGAGAAGGCAAGATGTGAAGGGTACATTAATAGAACGGTTTGCACACACATGTTCCATGGAATCTCGGGAATTTCTTCCACTGTCTAACAATGTACCGGGGTTACGAATACCAGGCGCGATGGGGACGATAATGCGGTTTGTTACGAAATTTCTGTATAATCTCGTACGCCCGATGACATAGATTCAACATATTGCTTCTAATCGAGTGTATTAAATTCTATAGTGGCTATTTAATCATAACCTATTTTTAATTTATCATTGGTAAATAGTTAGTAAATCTTCGATTTGTTGTGAAATGTGAAAATTAATACAAATATTTTTCTCTCTCTTAATCTTTAAAATGTTAAGCGCTTACCCGATATACGATACACTCTCCTAAATGAACGTTAATGAGTTTTGGAACATTTCACCGCATAATAAAGTATAGCCGCGATCATATAGCGTAGATATAAATAGATGTCGCAAATAATGACGCAAAAATATGCAAATGAACACACCTAATGTAAGTAGACAATATTTAACACAAGTAAATACTTTTTCGCCGAGAAGTACTTTCTCCTTTCCTTTGCATAAGTGTGGAATATTTTTCTTACCCCTTTTTCCATTTATTTTAATATTTTATAACATTACTTCACAACTAAAAAGGCTACAATACACTTGACTATAAAACTAGAAAATGTATAAAATTGTATTATTTTTTACGTTTGGAAAAACATTTCCTCCCCCTCCCTCCCTCCCTCCCTCTCTCTCTCTCTCTCTCTCTCTCGATATATATGATGATTTTTTTCATTGAAAGATAAAAATGCTACATCTTATGTCAACAGTCTACAAGCAGATACTTACTATGTACAACATAAGTATTTTTACTTACCAAAAGTCAGCTAAAATACGCTGTTACAATTTCACTATTTTTTCCGCTTTATACGTTTTATCAGTTCATAACGCAATCAAACTGTTTGTCGAGTAACGATTGGAATGCACAGTGCTAATTTGAAATACAGAATGTTTCACGGAATTGACAATTAATTTTGTGATCTAGGATCAAAAGATCAATCGCACGCGAGACCGACACACTAGTGATAAGGCACAGCGAACCCGTTGGCACGACTAAGTTATAAGATGACAGAAGGAGATAGATAGGCTAACGATTGCGCGTCTGTTTACGTGAATGGCAATAGCTTCATTCGAATTCGCGACTTTGTGAACCGTCGCGGATCTTGGTCTTGGCGCGACTGTCTCGCCCCATTCTGTTCTGGCGACTCGCGAGACTCGCCGGTTCCCTTATTGCTCTTAAGCCATGTACATGCGGTACTCGCTTCCGGTACAGATGTGTGCGCAGACGAAGGTCGAGATTTGAAACGGGCGATGTCCCTCCGAAGCTCACGAACGTGCCGTCTTCGCGTCAGGATATAATTGGAATAGACGTACGCGCCGCGACGCGATGGGCAATCGCGATGTAACCAATGTTTCCTAGAAACGCGGAAATTTTGCCAAATGCATCGATTGAACTACGATTAGTGACAATTATAAAAGTTATTTTACTGAATTATGTTTACTAAATGCTATATAATGTTGCTATGTACCAGTTAATGGATATGACCCAATTAACGCTGGATGAAATGACAAACAATGTTAAATATTAAGTTTTCGATAATATGTATGACTGTAAATAAATTCGTCTGTTATTAATTTTTTATAAACAACGAATTTATTTAGAGTTATACATATATTATTAAAAGCTTACTATTTAAATCTATGAATCAGCATAATCGCTAATTCCAAGTATACTATTGGATAATTAATGAATTCACAATAAAATTTAACTAAAAAATTCAATAAAGTATGGAATCCTTTGGAAAACTTTGCTTTAGTGATTAAATTCAATGTATATTTAAACTGATGTAAAGTATTTTAATTATTTAATGCTAAAATGCTCTTTCCTTTTTACATATTGAAGTGCCACTGGATAATCCATTGATTCAGATTTAAAAAGTAATATTTGAAATTTTTGTCATTTTGTCTAGTAGTTGGATCACCTCCATTAACCGTCTACTAACTGATATCTACATTTATCTTATACAATGTTTTGTAAAAATATATTAATTATTTTCTCCTTAGAATTTGTAGTAAATAAAAATCTAGAATTAGATACAAATACTTATTCAAATCTGTAAGAGACTAAAAATGACACTTGGATTTTCAATTTTTTAATAAAATTTTCTATTTAATAATAAAATTATTAGAAATATATGGTATGTGTAAATGGATGCACAGAATGAATAACATAATTATAATATATAACATTATACGTAGATATTTATATTCTACTATGTCAATATAGAAAAACGGAATTGAAGGAAAAAGAAGGGCACATAAATTTACTTCTATAAAAATATGTTGATAAAAACAAATATTGTTGCTGTGTAAAAATCAATAATAAAATACTAATTGTGTAAGTAACAATTTATTATAACTTTAGAATTATCTCCATATTACATTAAGATAAAGATATAGATCTCTGCGTTTATCGACAGCTTTGCATTTTACTACTGCGGGTACTTCGTTCATTTAGAGGAGCCACGTGTTGGTAGATTCGAAAATTTCTTCCTTTCCGACTTCGTCGATCTGTTCTCGGTGTCGTTTTGATGCTTCTGGGCAACCACCAAAAAACCAGTTTACCACTCGCAGCAGGACTGGTTTAACCCGATCTGAATAATGATTCAATTAATTTCAGAATTTTCCCAACATTAAATTATATTTACTTGTTATAATAATTATTATAATTGATCATATTTTTTTAACGAATATTTTTAATAGGCCCTTGCATTTTAACGTTGTAATTAAACAAATCATTTATGGGAAAGTTATCCAAAAATTACACGTTTGAATACAAGAATAAAATTATAATAATTTTTATAAAAATATATTTTACGATTAATAATTATTGTTTTTTAATAATGAAAAATAGGAAAAGATAATTATAAATTTATTTAAAAAAGTATTCCATATTAAATATTTTCTTGACAATCTTTGAGAATAGATTATTTTATTTCCGATTATAGATTTTACTATTGGATTTATTGGATCCTATGTCACATACTTGTAATCGATGAATTTTCATAACAATCATGAGTAAAACTTTTTGTTTGAAATTTATCATGTCGTTTTGTGAACAGTTTTTCTGTACATAATATAAATTGTTAATTTAATTTTTTTTTTATTAAGTAATACATGCATTAAATGGTATAATAATATAATTTACCATAACAAAAATCCATTTGCTTGTTTATAATCATTGTCACGAAATCTTTATTCGACTGACGTTGAGAAAGAACTGTAACTTTCTCGTGCTTCTGAAAAACGTGATAGCTTTTAGATTATAAAATATAAAATTTTAAATTTAATTTGAAGAATGATTAGAATATAATAATTGATCCAGAAATAATAATTATATTTTTGTGTGAGTTCTACTATAAAAAAGTTTAATTTTAATTGCTGTGTAATAAACGTAAAGTTTATGAAACATGATTTTATATTTTAAGGCATAATATTCATTACATATAATATTACTACGTCATATTACAATATAACATAAAATTGCACGCGCATATACACATACCATACAATCAAAATTTTGTTTATTTTCCTTTTTTACATTAATATTGACGTTGCTCATATTCTGTTGTTTTTGGGATGGAGTTTTGAATTTCCTAAAACATATTATGATACCATATCGAAAAATTTCTTTTTTTGTTATAAAATTCTTATTTGCTTTCCTGGAGTTACCATCAATATTTGTTACAATTTTTCAAAGAATAAACATGATAATTTCTTAAATTAAATTTTATCGGAAATGTTCGCTATTGGTACATCATTACTGCAGGATTGGCAAGTAACGCGTTATTTATAACGTTGTTATACCATATTACTTTTTTCAGTAACGAATATGTAACGCCATTACATTTTCTTCGGAGTAACATTTATGATAACGCAGTTACATTTTTGGGATAATGGTAATGATTTCACTAGTTACTTTTATCGTTAGTTTATTTCTAGCCACGTAAAAGTTTTATCGTAATATAGGTCTGATTGGTTCTTTTAATCACGTAATCACGACGCCTTTTTCCACATTGTATTCACAGTTCACACTTATAGGCTGAGTTCCGTTTCACGCATTATATGCGCATGATGTATCATTTTATTTTCCTTTAATATTCGATGAACAACAAAAATAAAATGGTGTATCATACGCACTATATGTGACGGAACGCACCTATAAGCTAACGTATAGCATATAGAATGTAGTGATGAGACCCGCGAGATCGCGTAAGATTTTACTCTAATAAATATGAATATAGATATATATGTAATATTATATATTGTATGCATATAATTAATAATTATATATATATATATACACACATTTTTTTAGCTCTATTCCTCTACTAAAAAATAGAATTTTGATATATTTTTTATATTTCTGTACGTAACATTCTATTAGTGTCAAGAAAAAAAGTAACGAAAAAGTAACAATTCGTTATATTTTGAGTAACGATAACGGTAACGAATTATTTTTGCAAATCAATAACGAGTAACGGGAACGAGTTATTTTTATGAGGTAACGTTGCCAACCCTGATTATTACTAATATAACTATATTTTTGATAATCATTGCTTTCGCATATCAGTTTATACTTGGTGTTATTTTTATTAATAATTTCTGAAATCATGCTGGAATCTGCCTTCTTTAAAGAATTTTCTTGCCGAGAATCAGTATTATTTTTTAACTTATCCGCTGGCATCGTGCACGTTGTAATTCTTGTTTTCAAAGCAGTATCTTGTAGGATTGCCATATTGCCTTTTTTGCATTTCTCATCGATTATCGTTATCTGTTGTGGGCTGTTGCTACAAGTATTAATATACATACATACTTTTATTATGTATATATCCTATAATAATTATATTGCAAGAATTTTTTTAATAAAATATAGCTATTTCTAATATAGAAGATGTATGCTATTAAATGCTTGACCATTTGCATTCTTCATCATGTATCAACTAAATATTTCAAAGATAAGGTAGACGTAAAGGTCGAATGAGTGATATGGTACGGCACGTGTCTTGTTTATCGAAAATGTGTAATTTTCGATGCGTTGAGTTTAACTTTGTCGATATAGTCTGATAATGATGTAATTATGTAAGTTAATATGATAATCCTATAATTTCATATGACATACATACGCAGTTATCATTGCATTTGATTCCGGCAACATATTGTTGATCGCATTTTGATGATGGCGATTATGTCGATGACGTTCATGCTTTTTATCGATAGTGTGCTTTGCACGAAATTTTTTACTTTTGTGTTTTCTATGTATGAGATTTTTATATTATTATATTATTTATTAGAACATTAATCTTTGCGACTCATTAATATTTGCATAATAAAGTATATTAAATTTAAAGCTACATTTTATATATATCTATAGGTATAATAGATCATGCTTTCGTAAGTTACTTGCTGATTTATAAATAGAAAGACTAAGCAAAAATATAACTGACTTTATTGATTTATGATTATCGTTGTCCAAGTTCGTTTTGTTAATGTATTTTTGAACATTTCTTGTATCTTCTTTATATATTTTTCGATATACTTCTTGTATTCTTAGCTCTTTATTTTCATTTTCATATTTCTCTTTTATCTTCTCATGTTCAATTTCGTCTATATTTAAAACAAACTTTAATCCATTTGCAACAGTATCTATTAAGATGCAACATTCTCTTCGAGCATCTATAAAAGCATATAGATAAAATATAATTTATTTATACATATATTATAAGAATTTGAGTCTTTTTAATTACATGAATTTAGCACAATTCACTTTATTCTTTTCTCTGTATGATTCAATAAATAAAGAATGCTCAACAAAAGTAATCTGAAAGTCCTAAAAAATGTTTTTCTTTATATTGAAATCTTGAATGGATCACAGTAATTAAAAATACAAACGATATAGATCTATAATATTTTAATGATAAATTGCGGAAGCTTACGGTTAGAAAAATGTTTTCCGAAAACGATATTATAGGTACATAAAATCTTAATTATGTCCGAAAGTCAATTAAAAGTTATAAACGATGATAGAAATTATAAACGGTGATAAAAATTCTCTCTTTCTTTCGTTCTTCTTCTCTTTCTCTCCTTTCACTTAACATTTTCCTTTTCCTACTTACATGAACGTGACTTGGGCACGTAATACAAAACGATGCCACACAACGTTAACGCGATTAACGAGAGTCGCTTCAGGTAGGTGATCCACGCAAGTACACAGAATTTCTCGTTGAAATAACCTGATGAGTAAAGAAGGAAGTCACTTGAATGACGAGAGAAGATATTACTTTCTCTTACCATATTCATTTTGCGATTTGGCGTACACGCATTGCGTAGCAAACGCGACGGTGAGAACTATAAATTTCACAGTAAACATTAGATGCATTAATTGTTTAAGTATTATTTTTCATTATTATATTTCAATCGTTAATCATGGTGTTCCGGATAAAAGAGAAAAGGAAGAAAGAATTTCAGTGACACACGCGTACTGAAGCGATGTCCGTTACAACGTAAGAGGCAATTTCACTTCGTTTCAAGCATTTCCAGTTATGTCCAACTTACGCCTTAATTATGCTTGATGAACGGCTAATATGGCCGTAAGTCAATAGTTACATCACGCATTTACGGGATTTTCACTTTGTAATTACAGACACATTACACGCGTAAAAAGATAATAACACGTGTAAGATTCATATCTTAATTTTTTATTATTCTCTGAGTACTTTACAATATAATACAAAGGAAACATGTCATAAGTATTGACCGTCTTTACTACAAACTAACAAGGGTGGGTTACATGCATGTACACGTACGAGAAAAATATTTCATACGGGTCGATGCGATAGCATAGCGTGCGCAGCGGGGACTCGCACTACTCGCTAAATAGTATCTCTCTAAAGCAATATCGCTTCGTGACTTCCAGAACTGTTTGGGGACTATATAGTCCCCCAAAGAGTTCAATCGGACAAGAAGCGATACAGCGCCTAGATGCGAACTATATCTAAGTAAGAACACAACTTAAAGATATTTTTTTTTACGAAATACTGTTTAATTCGATGCAGGTAAATTCTAAATTAAGTGCGACAAGCCAATAAGAACTGAAAGAACATTTACTAAATGGTCACTTCTTATCGGCTAGTCCGGGAGAACCGCCCAACGAGACTCTATACAGCCACCGTATGACAATTAATTCGCGAAAGAAGAGAATACTGTACGTTCAAGTTTGAACAACAAATCCTATCGCGATGAGGAATCAATCCCGCGAATTCTACAAGTTCTACGAGACTACGATACAATTCTTAGCTACAACCATCTCGCGTTACAATTTTTGCTAAATAGACTGTACTACGAATTATCGGGGCAGATGCCAGTGTCTGCTGGATTAAGTAAATTCATGTATATATAACATAACATACTAACATAATAATACAATATTATATAATAGAATAGAACACGAAATAATAATAATTAATAATAATATAATAGTATTATGAGAATTTCTCATACGCATGTACGCGTAACTATTGATAAAAAAATAATGCTATTCTATTTATTCAAAGATAATCTTGTGATATGTATTTCCGCTTATTTGGCGCCTTGAGAGCAAAAGATTGGACTGTCACAATTTACTTAATTAAGTTGTATGATTATCTTGACGAAACGTAACACAGTACGAGCTGACATTCGCGTGTGCCTTAAAGATTCACTCTTTATAATCAGTTCGCGTACATGCATATAACAACGCAAATGAACGACTTTATACACGAAATGAAGGACGAATCACGTAATAAAAATTATGATAATGAGATGATATGCTCCACCGAACCTGGAAGCTGAAGTCTCGATGAAATTCAAAATGTTTTTCTTATTTAAAACAAATAAACCTTTCGCGAGGGTCTTATAACTCCCTTAAAATTACTGGACCAAACTAGTACGCTTTCGAAATATATCATTAAAAGACTCATTAAGCTCTGTTACAATTACTAGGAAGAACGTTTTTATAGTATATAATTATTATCTGCTATTCTTTGATAGAATATCGAAAATTATTGTCACCAAGGAGTTAAAGATTATTTAATTGGCTAAAGTGATCGATTTTGAGGTTCGATGGTTCGCAAAAGGAATAATCGAATCATAAAACGAAAACGCGGAAGTTTTCATCCTTACGCAAACTGTCTCGCTTTCATTTTGTTGACGGCATTTGTAAGGTGGGTCATCTCGGTATTGAGTTGGGAAATCAGACCTTCCAGTCTATCAACACTGTCGAGGACTTCGACGCGTTGCGTATGCGGATTGAACCTGACCTCGAATGGCCGGCTCATAGTGGCCACCTGTAAGAGAAAAACCAAGGTTCATGACTAAGCTTATCTACCAAAGTGAGACAGATAACAGGTAGCGGAAGTGAATAGGCTATTATTCTTTATTTGCAATAAATAGGAATTAAAAAATATTGAAAAAAATTAAGAAAGCAAAAAAGAAGATTTTCATCTACTTCGATTCTATTACTTTCGAATTTATTCAATACATAAGTGCACATATTACAAGAATTGAAAACTGTGGCAAAATTGTAGAAAAAAGAAATTTAATTTGAAAAAAATTCTTAATTTAATTCGAAATTCATTTCACGGGTTAATACTGAATACAAAGCATTTAATTTGAATGATTTCATCGAACACATTGAAAATAGCGTTTTCATATTTACCCAACGACGGAATTTCTCCTTGGCATCCTCGAAACTCTCGGCCACATAATATATCGGTTGATAATCTTGATCTTGATATTTCTGAAGAGCGGTAATTGACGGATCGAAAGCTCGATGCTCGCACTTATCGCTCAATGCGTGCAAGAGTTCACCGTAGGCTGACAACAAGCCAGCACCGTAAGCCTTGACTTCGGGACCTTCCTTGCACAGACCAAATTCAACCGTGAACCAATAGATAGTTGATAGCTTCTCGATTTCTTCATCTGAAGCACCGAGAGACGCTAATCCAATTTCTTGCGAAAATTGAGCGAAACTCGAATCAGCCAAAAGCGGCATGTGACCCAAGAGCTCATGAATGCAATCTCTGCAAATAGAACAAGACAAACTTAAAGAATGATACCACGTGTGTGCTTATTCTTAAAATCCGCACTCTTAAATTTATCCGTTCTATTTGTTCGTTTCATATTTAAATTTATTGCTTAGTCAATTTTAGATGTGAAAATTTATAATTGAATCATTGCGATCTGCAATATTCAAATGCTTAATTTTACATCAGCAGGATATTAACTGCATTAAATAAATTGAACATGCTAAAATTAATTAAAATCTGTCATCAAATAAATGGCTCGTACTCAAGGTGCTATTCCATTCTTACAATATACAAAGCTATCTACAGTTCTTGAAAATCGTACTGTGACGTGGATCGCTACGCGGAGAAACGAGTTCGTAACTGTGGAACTGAGTTATCAACGCCATCGTGTCGTTAAAAGCCAATTAGAGTTCCATTACGAGCTTAGAGAGGCGCAGTAATTCTATTATCATCGTTCTCTGTGTACCACCGGGTGCAGGTTCCCGTCATAACGCAATATCGATTGCCTTGTAGTTTGACACGAAGGGGCAGCCGTGATGCGGAGTCAGAACGACCTTTACAATGCTCGATTTTTATGTAAAGATACGTCACAGCTTTATGCCTCTGCTCTGATGCGATATTTTATCGAATTTCATTATATGAATTAGTATGCCATGTACATTATGTTCTTTTTGTCTGTATACTTTACAGTTTATACCAAATTAAACGTTAAACTTTCTGGACAAATGGCATGTTCAACGTATTTGAATTTAATCTTTATCCATTTTTAAAAATAATCTCTAAATAACGTAACAGAATTGCGCGTTATTTTCGTTTTTGATCCCGATAAATTCAAACTAATAAAAGTAAAAGATAATACAAATTAGAGGTACTTACGGTTCGGGAGTGTGATACGGGCTGTTGATGTGGCGGACATATTGAGTGCTCTGGAATATTCTGAAGGCAAGACTGGACAAGAAGTCTCGCGCTGTCAAAAGACCGGCGGCCGGTCGAAGAGTGAATCCTGTGCTCTTCTTCAAGAAATTACTGACTTCCTGCAACTGCGGTATACGGTGAGACTCGAAGATCCTTTCCTCTTGCAATTTTTTGAAGGCTCTCTGATATTCCATGCACGCGTGTTTCGGCACCAGGTCCAGCACAGTGTTGAAGACGCGCGACCAAGTTTCGTTTTCCGTCTCGGTGTAAGGAATGCAAGGTATCGGATCGCCGTATTTGTAAGCGAAAGCGATTTCGGCAATGACCTTGCGACGTGCGCGATATTCTTTGTCGGCGAAGCCTGGGTGATTCATGTCGAGATCCGGCTCGTACTTGGTCATTAGGTGGTTGCAATTGTCGAGATCGGAAGCGTGACGGGGAAACCAGGGATCTTTGATGCTGACAGAATTGTCGGCGAGCAGGTTCACGCCGTCCAAGGCCGAGCTTTGTCGTAGATTTCTAATCAACTGTAACAGGCTCTGTCTGCTCATGTCAATCTTGACCAAGACTTCAAACTGCAGACCCTCCTTCTTGGAGGGCCGTGACTCGACATGAGTGATCGTGCCCTTGAAATTTTCAATTGTCTTCAGGATCCTGCCTAGGGAGCCGATACCCTCTCGCAATCTCAATACCAGCGCCGCTTTTTGCACGCTCTGCTCGCTATCCGGAGATTCAGCTATAGTTTTCGCGAGCACTACTTCCTCCTCGGTTAATCCGGCATCTGTGGAAAATTGAACATCATCTAATTTTGTTCGATAAAAAGATTTTTGTCGTTCTAAGTGACATCATTCTGTGGGATACTAGGATAGCTGATTCGCGTATAGTTAATTAAAAAAATTAAAGAAATAACTTTAATACATATCAAAACTCATCTTTACATTTCAGTCATAAATCGCAACTCGCAATTCGTAATTTATAATTCGTTATCGCATTCTTGACTCGGCGACTCACTTCGACAACGGTTCGTGAATTTTTTTCGACAATGACTCTCTATTCTCTACATTCCTTTTGTCTTGATCGAGATATCAATACGTGTCAACTTCTTTAGTCAGACGACAAAGAAACTCAGATACAGTTAGACAAAAACATAAATGGTGAAACATAAGAACCAATGTTTCGGTTTCTCCCTCGATCAACTATATTAAAGAAATTCTCTCTATATGTCGCGTCATCGAAATAATGCATCACCTGCAGGAAGAACGTATCATAATTTATCCTATAGAGTTTTTATGTAGATTTGGCATTTGAGAAAATACGAGCGTTTTGATAATAATAGATAAAATAAGAAAAGCGCAAATTCGACTTATAAAACTTTCTTAGGAATGATTCTTTTTAGGCATGACTTCTTGCAAGTACCCTAAGTGACTTCCGCGCACGGTAATAATCGGGCAATTCAAAGTCCATTTTCGCATAGCGCTTTGCCGTCACGTCGGAAACGCTTGGTCGCGGGGGCGGCGGAAAAGTGGCGGAAGTAGCCGTCATTGTCGCGGGCGCGGACGTGCCGGCGAGATGGAAGGCAACGCGAAAAGGAATAACCGTGTTACACATTTTTACCGCGGCCACGCAGGGTCGCTTGTGAAATCTCGAGAAAGGCTCTGCTCCGGTAATACGATTCTAAATGCACAAAGCGGCTTCGGAGGGTGAAGACGGGTTGGAAAAAGACGGAAATAGCTCGGAGACGTAATTCACTCCACAAGTGTCGGCCGAGCACTCGCCGTAGTCGACTGTCGACAATGGCGATCGTTTCACCCTCCATTTATCCTCGCCTTCCTATCTTTCCACCGTGCCACGTGCGTATACCTCCTTTGCACGCAATCACCCACTTCTATTACGCAACGTGACGTTTCGCGAGAACTGGACGCAATTAATTATGGACCAAAGGGATAGAAAGGTATACGTACCATCATCGTCATCATCGTCCGGTTTTTCATCGCTGTCTGATGAAGCCTCCGCTTTCGCTTCTGAAAGATATTATAAATTTCGTGCTCATGCCATGTGCAACATTTATGTATTCTTGAATACTTGGTGGCAGATGTGCATTTAACATCAATTAATTTTACATTGTAGTAAACATTATAAATATGCACGCGGGGATTATTACTACGTTAAATCAAATTATCATATTAATGGTACACACTCAATGCAATTATTGTCCTATGAAAATGCATATCACGCCTTCAATTACCCAAAAAGCGTTATAAATTTGGCGACATCTATAGATACAAACCTTCCTTTTTCACTGCGCAAACTAATGACTCCACCTGTTCGTCATCACTTGATGAAATATCGACGTAATTTTCTCCTTGTCCCTTGTCTTGAGTACAAGTAATTGTCTGATCCGCGTTCGTGTCTATTCGTTAACAAAGAAACAAGTCATGCGTTAACATCTGCATGCATATACGTTTATTGCTTCGCTCTGCGCTTGTACGACGTTAACAAAGAGATGTTTTATTTTTATAAAAGTTTTTAAAAATAAAAGTGTACATTCCTCTAATAAAGGCATGCCATATCATAATCTTTTATACAGTAAATCATGCGTATAGCAGAAATACAAAAATATTTATTTCTAATACATCAAACATATATTGATGCGGTAATGGAGATTTATATGTGATAGTAAAAAGAATTAATCTTATGTCAGACATTCGTAAGACTTACCATTCGCTCGTTGTCGAGCTTCCTCGAGTACGCTTTGCTTCGTCTGTTTGACGACGAGCGTCTCAAAACGGGCATCGTCTACAAGAGAACGTCGTCGTGCTGGATAGCCGTTCTGAAAATATAAATTAAAAGTGCGATTTATATATAATATCATGTAAAATTAAGATATGTCAAATTAAATTAATATAAGAATATTGCCGAAAATATCTATAGGCATTTCTATCTATCTATATGATTAAATTCTGAGTGCTAATGTATAATACTATTCTATTGTAGCGCATTTTGTTGTTGACGCACAAGCACAATTATAGATATAATTTAGAACTTTTAAAGGGCGGATGTCCTTTCGTCTCGAATCAGGTTCCGTTTTCCGTGGTCTGCTCGTGGCCACCTTTGACGTGAGACGATACGGAAATCTAACTCGTCAGTTCGACCGAATGTCACTTAAATCGGATAACGTACAAAAGGCACGGAAATGAATTTTCGCGACTTCCATCCTGCTGCGGTTGAAGTATGGGAAATGAATTAATTCTGTCAGAGGAATAGAAAAGAGCTTGAGTACCGCTCAGTTCTTAAAGGAAGATAAATTTTATTTTTCTTATTATCGCTCTCCTAGTTAATATACTTTTGCTTATTCCTTGCAATTTAATGAAAAATGTTTATCTGAAATACTTATGCCTTTTTAGCTACATCAATTTTCTAGAAAAAAATTTATGTAGGATTTTATTTGTAAGCAAAGAATTAATGAGTAAGTCTTGAGAGACAAAGACTTAAAATACACGCTCTTATTTGGCGAAAACAGGCAAGCATGCGTTACCAATCATTCAAATTCCTGACTGTCGCCGCGTTGGAGACCCAATTGCATTTTCCAGCAAAGTCATCGGTTGGCATAGTTTAGAGAAAGCGTTTAGCAATCCCTTAACAACGCGCGTCGTTAAGTGGGCCAAGTACTTTACCGATGAAACGATGGTTGACTATGTCGGGAAATTGCGACATAACGTAATAATCCATCGAAGAAACAGCAAATGCGTGATAAATCTCATCCCAATGCATCGATAAAGTCACAAATTAATTAATGCCTATCGTAAAACTGTCCGGAGTTGTCGGCTATCCACGTTAATTGCGTCTATCGTACGGGAAAGTGACGAATATATGTAAATATTTGTCGACAGCTGATGTACAAGACGGTGACTGTCCGTTCGAGGGAAAGAAGAATGAAAACCTGACGCGACGATAACTCGGCAATTAACGATGCGATGTCCAATCGAGCAAACGACAGGTACCGTAGGAATGTTGTTGCCGACCTTGTGGAATAGCACGAATGTATATGGCCGAAGATGCAAAAGAAACGATCTCGAGTTAGCAAGTCGAGTAATTATCCACTATATGATGGAGAAGTCGCATCCGTAGATAAACAGGATCTCTCTGTTGCACCTTCTCTCATTGATTTGCTCCGGATATTCGTTCTCTTATTCTTTTTATATTTAACATCTAACTTTTTCTTAGCATTATTGAAACACTATATAATATGATATAATACAAGTGGCATGTCTCAATTAAAGCGTTAAAAAAATTATGCTTTACTTTGGTCTGACTGTGTTGTAAGAGGTACTTAAACAATTACTGCAAGTGATAGTAGTAGATTAAATCGAGATGTAGATACATCAGATGTATCTGTGTGAATCATATAATTTCATGATCGTTCTCATTTATCTAATTATCTATTATATAAATAAGCGTTTCTATCGCGTTTCTAACATAGCGAATGTTAAATGATTACGATGCTAATACGACGTAATGTCTTGTGGATAATATAACCAAGGTTGATCATTAAAATTGCGCTCGCATACTCGCCCAATTATTCGAGCGGTTTTCAATTGATTTTTACATATCTATTCAACGATTATAAAAATCATATTTTATAATTATTCATTATTTACAATCCCGTTTCAACGTTAATAAAAATCGAAATATTAGTAACAAGCTAAGAAATTATCATAGAATCTGACATACATTATCTACTGCGTGATATAGGTAGTACCTTTACTCGTACTACTGCTATTCAATGATTATTATAGTGCTTCAGTTCCAAAATATTTTCTTTATCAACATGTTTTTTGAATGTTTGTTTCTTAAATTAACAAAAATTTTGTTTAATATTTTTAGAAGTTTCTGTGCGAAAAAGAAACTAGATATACAGAAAATAATACAGCTAGTTCCTCGAACGCAGTGCATAAGGGCGACTATAAGTGCGAGCGAAAATCGCATACTTCAGTGGAACTCCAATGGGCAAATAATTTGTCTTTGAGTATTAATTCGACCTCATGAAACCGCAATCGTACAGTTGAATGCGCGGCCGAGATACATAATGTGGCTACACACGCACACACATCGAAATCTCGCATTAATGTAATCCTTCTCATCCTGGAAGAGTGACTGGCCGCTGCGGTCCAGGCGAAATAACTGGCGTTTAAGCATAGCGATTAGCATAGCAAACTCGCGCTAATACGTGTATAGACGAATACACATGCAGCACGCGAGTTGCATGCGCCGAAGGATAGTTGCGAGTGCAACGAGTGCATGTGCAGTGAGCCTCCAAAGGCGAATAACGGGTGCAGCGTTCAGGGCCCCTTTTGCGTATCTCTCTCTTTCTTAACCGTTCTATACAATCACTTCATATTTATAATATATTCATAATTATCATGCGCGAGGCCGGAGATTGATTTTGCAACGGCGACGACATAATCCTGCTTAATATGACCGATCAGCAGTAGCAACAGCAGCAGCCTTGATACCGAGAGGGTGCTATTGGATCTTATTGCGAACTCGCCGCGGTAATTTTGTCATGAATTCGCTGAACGCTCTAATGTTATTCTATAAGCGGAGTTTAAGCAAGTGGTCGCGTGAACGGATGCTTCTAGGGCAAGGTGACTGGCTTGAGAAAAACAACCTGTAATCGTGTGCGTGTAATCATTAGTGGCCGTATTAGAATCCAGAACAAAATTGTCTAGATCAGACTTTTCGCAAAAAAAAGAAACGATTATATATTATTATGATATATTGATATGCTATATTGTGTACACAAAAAAGGACGGTTTAATTAAAATATAATATCTATAAAAGTAATTTAGTTGGACCATTAAAATAATTATGTAGGACGCAAACTGGTTGCCATAACTTTTTGCAGTATTGTTCAACATGCTTGAGATTCTTATGTAAGTATTTTGATGGTCCAATAAAATTGTTTTCAGATCTCTCTGTAGCTTCCTAAACTCTTAGGTACTTCGTCAAATCTATGTACGATATACCGGTTTTAATATGACTGAAAAGGTAACAAAAAATGTTGAACATGTACAAATGGATTAATTAAGATTTTAATTTAGATAGCGAGAGCGTGAATCTTCATTTAGTTTAGATTATTTAAATTATTCTCGAATACCCGGAATAACAAAAACGTGAAATGATATCCATATTAGCGACGCGATCGCGGTAGGAAATTTACTCAAGGTCGGTTTACTTTTCACCCCGCGTTGCCGTTCCTCGCACGATAACTATCGATCGCGTATAACCGATTCTAGATTCGATCTGGTCCAGTATCTAGATCCGGAGTGTGGGCACGCACGAGTTCCGTTCGAATGAGTCAGATCGTCGTGATCGTCAAATAAATAAAAATCGAAGTTAATACTTCGAAGTGAACAACTGCATTTGTATGTAATCGAGAATATTAAATGTGCATGCGTGGTTACGTGCATTCACTTCCGAGATTTATCATTTAAAGTAGAAAGATACTACGCGCCAGGATTGAAATCGCCAGATACTTAGGCCGATGCTCTCTATGAAATAACGTAATTAAAAAAATTTAGGTTACTTTTAAAGAGAATTTTTTTCAATTTTTTAAAAAATATGAAATATTTTTATAAAATATGTATCTATATATAGAACTGTTCTCTTAATTTTTTATTTGCAATTTTTAACGCATTTTCAATGCAGTTTTGAATTTCATTGATTAGTGAGATACCTTTATCTACGCACATTGATAATTCCGGTTCATAGAATTTTGCGGAGAAAGTGTAAGATTGTCGTCATCACATCGCAATGACGTGTTCTTGTATTTGTACAGACAGAAGCAAATAACAAAAATCATACAACACTTAGAAGAAGTCTGGGTAAAAAGAAAGCATGGAGTCCAGATTCAAATCCATCTAGATATTAATCCTAAAGATGTTATATCATTAGAGAATATCAATTTCTTATTTACAATTAGTAACGATATTCTGTGCACATACCATCGTGTTAAATTATGCATGAATGGAAATTCTGGGAAAACTCTGTGAATTTGTGCGAATCTCTTCAAACCCGCAAACATTAGCGATTTGTAAGCTGTTTGCACTAGTAATACTTCTGCGTCAATAAATCTGGATTGTTTGAGAAAGTCATGTAGGATTTGAAAAGCTCGAAATTGACGTTTAACATGATTGTTAAAGAGATAAGTGCGATATCACGTAAAAAACGAGACGTAGACTTTTCTGATAATTTTTGCGTCGTATAAAATTTTGCATTGTCGTTACAGACGCACGTACAGAGAAAAAAAACGAATAACCTCGTAAAAGTGTTGATTATGAGTTGTCATGTAACTTATTGGGCGTAAATAGGTAGAAACAGAATCGGCCTTGCTATCGCAATCCATGATGCGTTATACACGCATCGGAAAAACGCAGCAACCTCGAAAAAGTATCGATTAAAATCTATTAGTGTGCGATCCTAGGGGGAAAAAATACAGTTACGTGATGAACGACGAGTTCTCGCGAGCTGTAATTTGCAAAGTAGACGGATATATGTACAGTACATATTAAAAAACTGTTACACACGTCGATTCCAGCTAATATTACATACTCGAGAATGACTACAGTCGATAATTGTAAGTTTCACATAAAATCATTTATTCCTATCTTGTTATTATACTCATCGCCGTGGAATATATGCAAATACAATTTTATTCATCGCGTAGAAGTAGAAGTGTAAACATTTGCGAGAGAAAGGGGGTGGTGCGAAAATGATTTTGCATAACGTTTGGCAAGAAAGAAAGATGCTATTTGTCTTTCGTCATGAGAATTGCCGGTTTCTCCAACCGCTGCGTCTTCCTATAATCGAAAACAGTTGACTCGTGACCGGCTATTTCCTCGTGTAATCTTGTTGGACTCACGCTTCTTCAGCAGATTAAATTTTTCAAGCTACTATAAGTGCCATAAGTCTTCTTGCATCAGTTGCTTGGTTCGAATCGATTCTCGATCTTATGCAAATTTATGTATGCCGGGCAATGAACGGATTATTTTTTTGTGTCATCTTGTAATGACGTTTTCTGACTGAGAGAAGGAAAACTCTCTCTATTCTTTCCCTCTCTCTGTGTGTGCTGAACAAATTCGCAACGGCCGAATAAAGATTTTAAGGGTCTAGTCTGGTGTTCGGGCTTGAAAAAAATCGCTTGTTTGTTTCTTACATTTTTCGAAAGTACAAACTCTTGAGAGTGTCCTGTAAAAATTTCAGACCGAAATTCGAAATATTTAGGAAGTTACAGGTCAAAAACGTGAGCGCCCGAAGACCGCCCGCTGCGAACGGCGCGCGACGCGGCAGCTGCACCGCGGCAGTCTTATCCGTCCACTCTTGTCTCGACAGACTCATACCTGCTTGAAACATACGAAGATCTGAAAAAGTCGCCGAAAACGAAGTCTTTGAGGAAATCGAAGGATTGTTGTACGCACCAGGCATAGCGGATTAATGTGAGTATAATTTTTTTATAAGAAAGATGTAATCAAAACTTCTCACGCGATTTCTCAAAACAACGTTTTTGTAAGCGGCGCAGGTGATTTAAAAAAATCTATCCAACCGATTGCTTCAAATTTTTAATATGTTATTCTACACAACAATGGCTATCGCCGGTAGTAAAATTACTTATTTTTAATAAAAAATTTCTATTTTTTTAACCGATTTTCTATGGAAAAAAGTCATGATTTTTTACATTTTTTTTATAAGTACGCCATTTTGTTATTTATTAATAAAAATGTTTAATTTTACTACGGGCGATAGCCAATAGCCTACAGAACAATAATCAATTTGATTTTTTTGTTTCAGATAAGCACAACTGGAGATTTTACCTGCGCCAGCGACCTCCATCAATTTAAAGCCGCCAAATTTAATTATTAATAAAAAATACTAATTACACAAAAAATCCGAAAAAAAAATTATTTTAGTACCTTAATATTATAATAAATACGTGTGCGAAAAGCGGACTTGATTGCATTTTATTTTGTTGTAAAAAAAAAGTCATAAAATAAGCTTCCGAAATGAGCCCGAACACCAGACTAGACCCTTAAATCAAAATTCATTTATCAATTATTTTGCAATTCAATTGAAATGTTTGTGTACTATTTATGTTTTACATAAATTTGTTTAAGATATTTTTTTATTATTTCAATAAATAGCTAGATTTGACGAATAACTTAAAAATATTAAGATTTTTTTCTAGACCGATTTTAAGTTACTGAGAAGTATTAGAATACGTGACAAATTCTATAATTAAACCCATACAAAATGATGTGTGACCTCGACAATTAAATATTCATTACTATAATATTGCGACAAGGTCAATAACATTGCGTAAACAGGATAATAACACAGCGCATTTACTTTCTCTGCGTGAAGACTCTTCTCCATTTCGCCGGGCCTACGTGAGAATTTCACTTGCGTTCGTCTCCGGTTATTAAGATTGAGAAAGAGCGGAACCGACACACATGCACCTTTAAGCGATTTTCTGACGCAATTTTTTTCCCCATTTCAAAACGTACCGTTAGCTACAATAGAAAATCTAACTACAAAAGCAAACATTCGCTATGTGTAGAAATTAAGCCAGAGAGCGCATGGCGTAGTAATCCTGAGATTACCACTCGTGTCTCTGTCATGAATACAAAGTGCACGTAATTTCATATAATATTCAATAAACAATATACTGTTGCATGAACAACAAGATCGAGTTTTACAATTACGTTTGTCGAAATATATGAATTCACGTTAAAAAACTAGGATGACATTTTCACCTGCCTCTAGCGACATTCATACATGTAACATTCGGTGACTTAAATTTTAAACGAACGACTGAATTCGCGCGCTTACTATGGTCTTTATAATCGAACCTGTTGCTCTTGACATGTACATGAATAGAACAATGGAAGCACTTTGACAGTAACAATTATAGAAATTTTTCACAGATAAAGTGACAGATTTATCAATTTTTTGATTAAGAAACATAAATATACAGAGACAAAGTAGATGGTATTTTATATAAAAAAAAAAAACTTTTTTTATATAATATTTAATATTTTGCAACAAGTTATTTTGTATACTTATCTAAAAATCATATTTATCTGAAAGTTTATTTTTCTGATTGACGCTTCCAAGATTCTTTCAATTTTTGCAACACTTTTTAACAACTTCTGAATTACTTTTATCATCATTTTAAAATAAGACTTACCTCAATACTGTAAGATTTCTTGATGGCGAACATTTCACGGTTCTTCTGAGCGGCTGCGACTGCCATCATATCTTCTTTATCACTCCTCTTATTAGCTGATAGCGATTAATTTAAGGTAGTTTTCTTTACTCGACGGTCGATCGACTTGGGCGCCTTTCAATCGTCAATCCTCGGGCCTGATAATGCTCACTGGACAATGCAGTAGATGATGTGCGTGAGCTCTTCACTGCCGCTTGTGAGAAATTACACGAATGGATTCCTCGTTGATCGCGCGCTTTTCGATTTTAATATCCCAAAGTGCTTCAGCTAAGTCCTCTTCGGCCTCGATCCGTCCGATCTGCTACGGTTCGACTACGATAAACGAGGACGTCGGCGACGACAACGAGCCTCTACTACTTAAGTCCGCTTTGAACGGAGCGTACGAGCGAATGCGTCTACGGGGCGGATTGCCGCCGCATATAAACGTTGCCTCCCTTCACCGCCTGCTAATGCCGGGGTCAGGGGTGCCCCCACCCTATCGTCGTTTCGGGTGGTCCACCGGCAGCAGCCGCCACTACCACCACCGCCGTCGCCGTTACAGCCGTCGCTGCCGTCACAGCGCCGCTGGCATTGCCATTGACGAAGACGATCATGAGGGGATTCCTTGCCTAACTGCTGATACTTTCGTATCTCGTATTGGATTCTCGTAGGACACTATCGCACACCTTCCATTCGCGATAACGGAATTCCCATTACGCAGACGATAATAAGAAGTTACAAAATAGAACTTTTGATATAGTTGAAGTAATTGGTTTTTCTCCATGCAGATTAATTTGATTCTTTCTATTATAACATATGTGTATGCAATTTGATAGTATATCTACTGTTGAATCTGCTAATATGTTTAGTGTAATGTTTTACACAGAATAACGCATTGTTTAAGAATTTCTACGAGAATATATTGAATGAAAATATATAAATATATTATCTTAAAAGTTTAAGCAATAATTTTGTATTTTTCGCTGTTAAAAAAACGTCATATTATGTGCCTTCCAAATCGATATTGAAACAAACTTGAGCAGAACGCACAAATGGAACGGATGATCAAGTTATCAATATCGTCTTCTGGATTTGGCGCATTTATAATTTGTCCTTAAAATAGGATATTTGTCTCAGCGAATTGACGTTTTCGAAGAGAAGACATTTAAAAATATAACGATATTAATTATTATGTAATTATTATTACATAGATTATAAAAAATTACTGTGGGTATGCAGTTAATCTCAAAAATATCTGTAATCAACTAATACAAAACAATTTTTTAATTTTGTCTTCACTATAGATGACTATCAGAATATTAAATTTAAAAAGTATGCAATATAAATCGACAGAGATTTAGTTTTATTCTGTAATTAATCATGCATCTATTAAAACTTAATCTTGACAGATTTGATAAAATCTGGGGAATAAAATATAGAGAAAAGAAAATAAAAACGTAAATTTAATATCCAAAGAAATATAAAAAAAGAATTATATATAAGAGCGAAGAAAAATAATAAAACAGAATAAATATTGAACATGTAGTCAGAAAAGAGATATGGTATATATATCACAGAACGCATGAAGCAAATGAATGCACAATTTAAAAGCAGAAATTTCTGAGACTTTCCCGTTTCTCGAATTTGCATAGAGTTTTAGTTCAATATTACATCGCAAACGAGGCTCGGCTAGATAAATTAAACAGACGGTTTTTACCTTATAATTAAAAAAAAAGATACATAAGTAATTTACCACCACTTGACATCGCTTTTCCTCTAAGTTTGCGTAAACTATACATTAAAGGTCAAACCGTGATCGGTTTTGCGTCCGCGTTGCGTCGTCGGAACTAACTCCTCGCAAATATGACGTTGTCGCGATCACGCGTATACGTTCGATCTTCGGCACAATCCAGCCATTCGATCGTTACTTCTGTGCGTCACGCGTTCACGTGCGTACGTATGCACGTAACGCACGCACGCACGCACGCACGCACGCACGCACGCACGAGGCGAATGATCGCGCGTGCAATCGAGTGATCGTTCGGAGAAAGATCTTACGAGAGAAAATGCACGTGTTAGCTTTTTTATGGCTTTCTAAAGATATGACTGCGGACTGTCCGGCCTCTGACGTGCGTTCGTCGACAATGGTGCATTTGGTAGGCGTGTCAACATTATTATAATGAATATTTAATAGCGGCGGCACGATCGCCAATATCGTTAAGAACCTGCTTCTCATAATATACATAATGACACGATATATACATCATAAGCGTAAACGAAAATAGAAAAATATTGAATTTATATGCACAGCGTTGTGTAACAGAGGTTGGACAGAGACTTCGAAAATTCGATTATTCTTGATTAATAGCTTCGCGAGATCTTTCAAATACGATAGCATTCCTAGAAAAACTTATCGATTGAAAATGAAGATCGATGAGAAGGAAACCGTGCATATGTTATTTAAATTATGTTTGGAAAAAATACGTATCTAGATGTCTGGTGCACACAATGCGTGAACATTTATTTATTAAAATAGTAACGTTCGAGATTGTGTTGTGAAGATTCAGGAATAATACAACACAAGGACAATACAGAAACAATCCTATGAAAATGTCTATGTGAAATTAATGCAAAAGAAACGACTATATCGTACAGAATTACCTGCCTTGATACATTGATAGCCCATGTTAACATTCGTTATTCTGCGAGTGTTGACAAACAAATTTTAATATTGGATTTTTCTAAACATTACGGAAACGTTCATAATATTTTCAATCAACGGATGATTCCGTGACGTTCCGTCGATTTATTGGCGCGTTTATGAAATTTTCCTTAGACGTCATTCAGGTGTGGCAGCAACCCATGTGGTCGACGTCACGAATCGCGTCGATTGAAGGCACGAATAGCTGGGGACTCCCGAGTGGCCGAGTTGAATTCTACCGATCTTCTTAGCAGCCAATCCGGTTCCAAAGTGTGGATTCCCAGGTTGGGAGTTTCCAAGAGTAATCTTCCTAGTAAAAGAACCGTTTGGCCGCGGTCGGTGAATCATGTTCCTAATAACGCGATAGTGCAACTCGTGAACGTATCATTGCTTTCATTCTGCATCGTAAATGCTTTTTACGATATCAGGGGAAATACGCTGTCGTTTCGACTTTACGCTATCTAAACAAATAAGTTGTGCAGAAGTTTATGTAGTTGATTATATATGATTAGTTGCAAATGTAAGTAGGTAAACATATTTATTTTGTTATACGATTTATAAACTGTTTTACAGTAAAATTCTGTTTACAGAAACAGCACAAATATTTAGATCTGCAGTTTTGATTTTATAACGTTTAGAAAAAAATTTATTAAGAAAAAACGAAACACTTTGTGTTTTACTCTTATCTTTATAAAGAATATAGTTGGTTGCAATAAAAAGTAGTGTCACAACCTTGAAAATTTACAAAATTTTATAAAAAGAAAGCAAATATATGTGAATTTCATTGTTTCACAAATGTTAATCTTAAGTAAAACGTTAGATTAACGTTTTACTTAAAGCCGGTTTATTCCTATTTATTCATTATGATTATGCAACTAGATATTTGCATATTATTTATCGCTTTCATTGTACAAAAATACTGCGGAATTTATCCTCTTCATGTCGAGACTAATCAGCAATGTCTACGCACACACACATATATACATATACATATATATCTTACTAATTGATAGCTCATATCGATTGCTTAGTGACCCTTGGGAGTAAAGCGATCGATTAATATGTAGATATGTTTATTGAATAGTTAACATATATTTGCACTTGCTCCTAGAATAATTAATATACTATCAAAATAGTAACAAAAACAGAATAATAATTAAATAATTGAGTTACTACTGTATAAGATTTGTAAAAGTGATACTTAAAAAAACTTAAGTAGATTAAGCGAATTTGTCAATTACAATAGAGACCGTAGTGAGGTTTATAACGTATAAGTAGTAGCAAATTCAACATATTGATTCCTTACTGCGTATGACTTATTCCTTAAATTTTATTGTATACCTTAAGCAGTAAACAAATTTTAATAGAGGATGTTAAAAAGATGCCGATTTTTGCTTACAAAGGTATAAGTAAAGGGAATAGAGTTTTTTTAATAGATTTTAACTTCCTGAATACAATAATGTCAATAAAAAGTTCGGGATCGATAGGAAACACCTTGAAAAATAAGCAAGAATATTGAAATTTGTTTAAATATATCATGTTCATGCTCAATTTTCAAGGATTTCCCTATTGATCCCGAACTTTTTATTAACATTACTGTATTCAGAAGGTCAAAATTTATTTAAAAAACTCTTCCTTTTACTTACAACTTTGTAAGCAAAAATCGGCATCTTTTTAATATACTCCTTTAGTTACGTTATTGTTATGTCTTTAGTGTGATTGGCCGATTCCGCACTTACTGTTTACATCTTATTGCCTTATACTTTTTTTGTGATTTTTACAAATATTGAATAGTACTAAATTAAATAATTAATAATTATAAATAAAATAATAATTAACAATATTTAAGAACTAAATACAATTACGAGAAATAAAACAAGAGTTTAAGCTTGACAATTTAAATCTTGGTTTAAACATTCCGATTAAATACATTTTAAATCTTATCTGAAAAACTTCATTAAATCTCTCGATCATAGAAATGTAATTTTTTATGTCACGTTGAAATTTTCATCATTAAACTAAGTAACTCTCGGTGTAGACGAATTATTACTAGTCTTTAGCCAATGAATTAAATAATTTTTACTCAAATCAAATTTTAAAGACAAAAGAATCAATTGTTTCCGGAATTATATGTATTTCATGTCGTAAGGTCCTTGCGATGATCATTAGGTTATTTGCTATCCTATAAACAATATTCAATACACATTATATTATATATTTTCACAATTATTTTTTATTAAATTTTATTATAATAATAAGATACCTATATTTTTTTATAATGGAATACAATTTCCTTATTTCCGCAGAACATATGAAATACGGAAACATTAATACGGTATTTTAAATTATTGGTTCATGATCGGATATATACACACATACATATGTATATATTTACCTATATGTATACGAGCTGTTTATTGCCGCTATACCAAATGTGAGCCGCGGTCTTATACTTTCATGTACCAAGGCCGCTCCGCATATTGCTCCGGAGACGGAATGGCACTTGCTGTACATCAGGACTCATGTGGTTGCGATCTGATTCAGGCCGTAAAAGCATTTTATAATTTCAAACTAATTAAATAAGCAAATTACGATGAGGGTGAGTCCGAAAAGTAATCAACTTACCCGCATTAATATCATATATAAACAAATTGAAATAATTTATAATCGTTTATTATTGCATAAATTATCAA